TTCACTTTATATGTTTCTTTGATCCTTCCTTTTTCTTTTAAGGCTCATGGAAACTCCAGCTTCAGGGTGGGGAAAAATCAAAAGACGTTTGATTTGTCTTAAGTACAAAGCAGAAGCTCCACTATGTACACAAAATAGAATAGTTATATCTAAAGTTATTCTAATATTATAATTACAGCAAGACAATATATTATTAAACTATGTACTATATTCCAACATTCTTGTAGTCCTCCTCCTACCATTTTCCATGGATTTGGGTCCTCTTCAATTGACGTTTTGTTTAATAAATTTTAACCATTTATTATTTAATATGTATGGTTGAAATAAAAACTAACTAACCCATTATACCAGTAAAATAGGCATACTTGTTAGTCATTCTAGTTATAGTTGATTTTTATTTTAACGGTTAGATTTAGTAATAAATATAATAAATAGTTAAGATCTACTAAACAGAAGAGTCTAAATGCCTCGCCAATGCTTTTTTTTTGTCAGCAGTGTGCAGTTAGTGTTTGTCCTCTGTAACTATCTTTCACAGCATTGTACTGCTATCCAAATTTACTGAATATAAATACAATGATCACATCCACATAGGGTACACTTAAAAATATCCCTTTATTTAGTCTTAAAGTTTATGTATCACACTAATTTCTAGCATGACAAAAAGAAACAATAATGAAATAGAAATTTTACACTACCAAAAGAATCAGTTCAAATGTGACCATCACTGATAAGTGCTGACATTAGATAAATGTCTTACCACATCTCGACTTGCTTGTGTTGCATACATTGCAATGAAACCTGCATATGGAACCTTGTAAAGTTCTAATAACAACATTTCACTCATAGATAAAAGCTCCCATTTTCTGTCATTTCATTGAATAAAATTATTTAGAAAATTTGAATTGCAATACAAAAAGGAGAGGCAAAATCAGAATATAACATTTCTGTAATACTACTATTTACCACTGTATCTTCCCATCAGCTTCACAATTCCAACTCCGTTCTCGACACTTTCAACCTCCACATGAGCAGCATCAATGGCTCTCTGGGCTTCTTCCACAGCAGTTTCAAATCCAAAAGATTTGTCTATCACCTAGATCCAAAAACACAAACAAGAAGAATAACATAACAAATGCTTCCTCTAAGTATATTTATTTTAATAAATATTTTAATATGTGGACAAAAAGTTGACGAACAAATATAATATCTCCAAGTCAAGACACATGGTTGCACACACACCGACAGAAACCTGAACAGACAGAACAGATGCCATTAAAAGTAGAGTTTCATATATAAACAACTAGATACAATCACTGGTTTCCTGAAAAATTTGTCTTTTTCTATGATCTTGGTAGATGGTTGGAAGACTTGCCCGGTTGGAAAGCCTTTCTATGATGTCTTTGCCAGGAGTTTTGGGTTGTAACATGTTCAAATTATTATTCTATAAATCAAACTACAAGAATATTTCACTAATGGCCTAAAAGTCTCCATGTAGGTATAAATTCAGAATATATCATGGGCTAAGAACTTACAGCAATATCATTATCAATTGTTTTCGGAATCCCAGCCACAGCCACTTGAAGACCACGCCTTATAACTTCCTTCATAAAAAAGATGATTATATTACATTATTCCATAAAGATAACTACATGAATGAGGGAATGGATTCAGTGCAGTGACAGTACC